CCTGTCTCAAAAAAGGCAAAAATAAAATAAAATAAAATAAAATAAAATAAAATAAAATAAATTGAGATATAATCAAATACCATAAATTTTACCCTTCAGAAACTTTTGAGCATGATCATATTTGTATTTTAGAGACATTACTATGGCAAGCAGTGGAGAGGATGGATTAGGAGCAGGCAGTTTGGGAGTAGGGACAGAGCAAACAAAATTATTGTAACTGAGCTGGGCATGTTGGCAGATGTGTGTAATTCTAGCATTTGGGAGGCTGAGGCAGGAGGATCAAGAGCTCAAAGCCAGCCTAGAGCTAGGCATGGTGGCTCACATCTGTAATCCCAGTGTTTGGGAGGTTAAGGCAGGAGGATTACCTTGAGTTCAGGGTAAGCCTGGAGTACATAGTGAGTCTAAGGCCAGCCTGAACTAGGTAATGAGACGCTCTCTTAAAAAACAGAAACAAACAAAATACCCCCCAAAAACAACAAAAAAGAAACACCACCACCAACACCACCAAAAACAAACTGTCAGTATTTGGCCATATTTGCTTTATCTTTATTGGTTGTTTTTGCTTTTGGCTAAAATATTTAAAAGCAAATATCAGAATCTTGTAAACCCTGCAAATTCAGTTTATGTATTTGTTAAAAATACAAATATTTCCTTGCATAAACACTATGTCACTTCACACTAAAATAACTATCAAACCCAGTTCATATAAAATTTTATTAGTGCTAGGCATGGTGGTGAATGTCTGTAATCCCAGCACTCGGGAGGCAGAGGCAGGAGGATCGTTGTGAATTCGAGACCAGCCTGGGCTACAAAGTCAGCTCAAGGCCAGCCTGAACTGCATAGCAAGACTCTGTCTCAAAACAGAACAAAGACCAAAAAAGATGGTCTTTAACTTTTTTTTTTTTTTTTTTAAATGCTGAAAACTAAACCCATGGCCTTGCACGTGCTAAACATGCACTTTACTGCTGAGTCAACCCCCAGTCTTACAGTTTTAAAAATCAGGCTCTAAAACCAAAGAGCAGGGGCTGGGGGTTTAGCTCAGCAGCACAGCGCCTGCCTGGCAAGTGCGAGAGGTCATGAGTTTGATT